GCCCATAATAAATTTGAAAATTATAGGCCGATCTCTATTTTGACAGTTTTTGATAAAATCTTTGAAAAATATATTGAGTTTCATCTTGTAAATTACCTAAAAGAATTTAATGTGATCGACAAAAGGCAGTATGCTTATCAGAAAGGTAAATGTGTAAATGAACTATTTATAAACTTTTCTGATTACATTAACTCTGCCTTGAAAAACAAAAAGCATGTAGCTGCAATATTTATTGATATGAAAAAAGCATTTGACGTTTTGAATTACGAAAAATTATTAAATAAGATTGAGAAAATTGGAATAAGAGGTCCTGTGCTGCAGTTAATAAAAAGCTACCTTGCAAATAGAAATTTTAAAGTCCATATTAATGAAGATAATAGTGATCGCTTCAATGCCAAGTCTGGAGTCCCCCAGGGCTCTGTTCTTGGCCCGATTTTGTTCCTGTTATTTATTAATGATCTCTTCCCATTATTGAAGAACTGTATTATTTTCATTTTTGCCGACGATGTAGTAATACTTTTTGCTCATGAAATTTTTGAGGTATGTCAACGTACAATTCAATCGGAATTTAATATTACGGTTGAGTGGTGCCATGACAACGGATTTTACATAAACACCAAAAAGACTGTTTGCCTACACATTTGTCAACCAACTGCTCGCAAAGATCTTAAGTTGAATATTTCTTGTCACAAATATGACTGTTTACATAATTTCTGTATTGACTGTAAATGTGACAATCTTAAACAAGTAGAAAGTACCAAATACCTGGGTGTAATTGTGGATCAGGATTTTACCTGGAAAATGCATCTACAAAATTTATCAAAAAAATTAAGAAAAATTATTTGTGAATTCAATTATTTAAAATCAAATATGCCATATAATGTGAGACGTATCATGTATTTTTCCCTTGCTCACTCATACTTAAATTATGGAATAACAGCGTGGGGTTCTGTGAACCTTACTGCGATAAAGTCGCTCCAAGAAAAAATTTTGTACAAAATGTGCTCAAGAAAGCAGAAGCGAACAATAGAAAACCAATTTAAGTTTTGGAATGTTTTGCCTGTTGATAAAATATTTGAACTCAATTTGATAAATGTGAAATATTTTGACTCGAATCATGGTGTCCCATATACCCACTCATACAATACGAGAATGTTGCAATCTAATCCGCTAATTGAACCGATGGCGGAAAACAAGTACTTTAACCGAACCTCAGAATATCTGTTACCCCGTTTATGGAACTCCTTGCCAAATGAATTAAAAAATTTAACAAACAAAAGTGATGTTAAATATAAAATAAAAAAACTGTTTTTGCACCTGAATTAAAAAATATTATGAAAAATGTGTAATAATGTGCACTAAGTGTAGCAGCTGATGGCCGCTTGCGGTCATCAGTCAGAATGAGCACCAGCCGATAAGCCTTCGGGCTTGGCTGGACTTGTAATATTTGAAACAATAAATATCTTTTTCCAATAAAAAAAAAAAAAAAATCAAATTACGTTTAAAAAGGAAATCTGGACACGAAAAAAAAAAATGCAAAACCACAATTTTTTTACTTCTTTGTATATGTATTTTAATGACTAAATAATTGGAGACGCTTAATTAATAAATTTATATGGAGGGAAAATTTAAAGTTGGTGGTGGAGCGCGAATCATTTTGAGGACGGGTAGAAATCTAAAACATTTTTTTATTTAATTTTTTACGTTCTCTTGTTTTTGTTGCCCATATATATTTATGGTTTCTCAAAGCAATAACAAAAATTTTATTAATTTAATTTCACCAAAAGTAATATAAAATAAATATAAAATAAACTTGAGAATATTTTTCAAGTAGGGAAATTTTACAGATAAAATTTCAAAGTAAAAATTCATTTTTTTTTTTTTTTTTTTTTTTGAACTCGGTCCGACCGAACTGGAACTCGGTCCGACCGAGCTGGAACTCGGTCCGCAAACTTTATGAGACAGTCGTGAATTCTGCAAAATGCTCTAGGTCTGCGCGTGAAGCGCAGACCTTATGGTAGAGTCGAGAATTTCACTAAATGCTCTAGGTCTGCGCGTGAAGCGCAGACCTTATGGTAGAGTCGTGAATATTACTAAATGCTCTAGGTCTGCGCGTGAAGCGCAGACCTTACGAGAGAGTCGTGAATTCTACAAAATGCACTATTTATAAGCTTGAAGCGGCCGAGCTGAAACTGGGTCCGACCGAGCTGGAACTCGGTCCGACCGAGCTGGAACTCGGTCCGATCGAGCTGGAACTCGGTCCGACCGAGCTGGAACTCGGTCCGACCGAACCGAAATTTGGTCCGACTGAAAGTTTATTTTTTTTTAACTCTTAGCTTCTTGTGCAGTAAACAGTTATCGAATCATATTACGTTTAAAAAGGAAATCTGGACACGACAAAAAAAATGCAAAACCACAATTTTTTTACTTCTTTGTATATGTATTTTAATGACTAAATAATTGGAGACGCTTAATTAATAAATTTATATGGAGGGAAAATTTAAAGTTGGTGGTGGAGCGCGAATCATTTTGAGGATGGGTAGAAATCTAAAACATTTTTTTATTTAATTTTTTACGTTCTCTTGTTTTTGTTGCCCATATATATTTATGGTTTCTCAAAGCAATAACAAAAATTTTATTAATTTAATTTCACTAAAAATAATTATAAAATTAACTTGAAAATATTTTTCAAGTAGGAAAATTTTACACATAAAATTTCAAAGTAAAATTTTTTTTTTTTTTTTTTTTTTAAACTCGGTCTGACCGAGCTGGAACTCGGTCCGCAAACATTATGAGACAGTCGTGAATTCTGCAATATGCTCTAGGTCTGCGCATGAAGCGCAGACCTAATGGAAGAGTAGCGAATTTCACTTAATGCTCTAGGTCTGCGCATGAAGCGCAGACCTTACGAGCGAGTCGTGAATTCTACAAAATAAGCTATTTATGAGCGTGAAGCGACCGAGCTGGAACTCGGTCCGACCGAGCTGGAACTCGGTCCGACCGAGCAGGAACTCGGTCCGACCGAACTGAAATTCGGTCCTACTGAAAGTTTATTTTTTTTAACTCTTAGCTTCTTGTGCAGTAAACAGTTATCGAATCAAATTACGTTTAAAAAGGAAATCTGGACACGACAAAAAAAATGCAAAACCACAATTTTTTTACTACTTTGTATATGTATTTTTATGACTAAATAATTGGAGAGGCTTAATTAATAAATTTATATGGAGGGAAAATTTAAAGTTGGTGGTGGAGCGCGAATCATTTTGAGGATGGGTAGAAACCTAAAACATTTTTTTATTTAATTTTTTACTTTTTCTTGTGTTTGTTGCCCATATAAATTTATGGTTTCTCAAAGCAATAACAAAAATTTTATTAATTTAATTTCACCAAAAGTAATATAAAATAAATATAAAATAAACTAGAGAATATTTTTCAAGTAGGGAAATTTTACAGATAAAATTTTAAAGTGAAAATTCATTTTTTTTTTTTTTTTTTTGGAACTCGGTCCGACCGAGCTGGAACTCGGTCCGCAAACTTTATGAGACAGTCGTGAATTCTGCAAAATGCTCTAGGTCTGCGCGTGAAGCGCAGACCTTATGGTAGAGTCGAGAATTTCACTAAATGCTCTAGGTCTGCGCGTGAAGCGCAGACCTTATGGAAGAGTCGCGAATATCACTAAATGCTCTAGGTCTGCGCGTGAAGCGCAGACCTAATGGAATAGTAGCGAATTTCACAAAATTGTAAGCAAAGTTGTCGTCGTAAAAAGTTCGTCTGTTAGCGAAAAGATCATACATAATTTCTCAATAGGAGCAAAGATGTTCGATATTCTGTGATTTTGGAAAATTCTGATTTCCCGGGAAAGAATCCCATATTTTGGCTCATTTTGGCTTGAAAATTTAGTGAGCAAGGCCTTTTTAACACCTTAACAATATACTTAAAAATGGAATGGAATCTTTTCAACAAAAATTTTTAACATTTACCCTCAAATCTTTCCTGGACTCACCACTATTCAAAAAGTATCCATACTTTTTCTTTACATAAAAACGACTTCACATGGTTCTTTTTTTAACCACAGTTTGAGGCTAAACAATCACTTTATTTATTTATTTAAGTAATTTTAATTACTTATTTTATTAAATTAAATATTTTAAGAAAATAGAAATGAAGAGATCGGGCTTTTCCTCGTTGCAGAAAAATTGTTTTTATTCAAAAACAAATGGCTCTACCAGTTTCGGTCACGGTCTGCGACCCTATTTCATGAGCTATTTCATGAGCAAACGCGCTGCTAATAGGTATTAGTCAGCGAGCAGCGCGTTTGCTCATGAAATAGCTCATGAAATAGGGTCGCAGACCGTGACCGAAACTGGTAGAGCCATTTGTTTTTGAATAAAAACAATTTTTCTGCAACGAGGAAAAGCCCGATCTCTTCATTTCCATGATCATCTCCTCGAGTGTCAACTTCTTCAAACAAATTTAAGAAAATAAATGAACATTTTTATGTAATGGAATCGTGTCTTTAAAATGTAAAATTGTCTATCCCTCTTGGGAATGGCACCAGCGGTAGCTGTGAAGCCGATTACACAGATTCTTCTTTTGGACCGATAACATGGTTGTCCGGGTTCAAAAGAGTATAGGATTGGTTTGGTTGTAGGGAATTTACAAAGATGATGAAGGTGGGCGGCTGCGGCCTATGGAACTATGCCGGCATTCACCTGGAATGTCTGGTGAAAACCGCAGAAAACACCAGACTGGTTAGCCGAAATTGCAGACGCATTCCTCCCAAATCTGCCTGTCGCAGTGATCAATGCACCTCTCCAATAATTTCCGAAAGTCTTGCGAATCAGAAATAGAGCTTTTCTAGCCATGACTCCAGCCAGGACAGAACCAAAAAGGCCTCCAAAATATCGGCCAAGCGCTCTAACCACTGCGCCACAATTCATATTCAAACAATAAAAATAAAAGTACTTTAAGGAGAAACGTAATTTCTATTCTAATTACAGGAGAATTTGTCGAGAAACAACATTTTTTAACAGTGAAAGGTATAGACGCTAATTCACGCTCAGCATGAAATATTTCTTGATGTATCTTATGTTACGTTTCTAATTTCATACTGTAAATAATCAATAATCATTAATTAAAAATTGTAAAATCAGTTTGCATGACATATACCTAATATAAAAAGGACTGTGTGTTGTCCCAGAAAACTGGATTCAATTTTATTGTTGCATTCTGTCATCATACTAAAGAGAAATACAAACAAGAGTTTTAGAAATTTTCGATCATTTCATTTTTATGTCATAGCTGGTCAGCTACTTTGTTAAAATTTCCTTCTTTAAAGATTTATATTGAATCTGAATCCATTTTCGTGTGATGTCTGAATGGAAGAAAGAAGCATCCATAAAAATTTCAGCATGAAATGCAATTGTACACAAAAATTTAAAAAAATTCATTGGGCATTGTGTAAAATCTTAATATTTGTTTTTCCAGAATTGCAAGGAGTTTATCCCGAAGACTTGCCTGGCATGCAGGCGATTTTCACCAGGACGAATCGGCGTCTGTCCATAGCGCGGCAAAGGTCGTCTGAGGTGCCGTCCGAGGTCATGATGAGGTCAATGTCGGACGAGCAGGCACCAGGACCGCAAACGCTGCACGTGTTGCAGCGACAGCCGCGCGTCTCAGATTCACCCAGCATCGCGGAAACCAACGAAATGGAAGAACATCGCTTGTTGAATCATCCAAATGTGCCACAAAGAAATTTGCGTCCCGGCAGCTCAGAATCGGAAGTGTGAAAAACCAATTTTTGTGTTTTCTTTGATTTTTGGTCAAATTCTGATTTCATTTTCAGAAAATTTAGTGTTATTCTGTGGTAGGTGAAAAAAGTACGCTTCTTGATTAGCAAAAGTATTTTAATCATAGGAAAAATGTGTGCCACAAATAATCTAGGATTAAAATGTAGTATTGCTGCGCAGTGCTATGTGAACGGTGCTCTAAGCTCTAAGTATTTTATTTTTGTATAACAGAGACAGCGTTTTAATTTTGATACCAAATTTCAAATGTGGAAATAAAATGCGTAGCCCCTAATTTGTGAGATTTTTAATTCCTGAAATTATTCTATTCAAAGTAGCTTGTATATTTTTTTTAGTTTTTTTTAAGGATAATTTTTTTTCCAATATTGATCAAGATTTATTCAAAAAAATTTATATTTCCTAGGGTTTTATTAGTTCCAAACAAATTTTCAAAATTCTAAAGTGATTTTCCAAGCTAATCGCGGGAGTCAATTTGTCGGAGCAAATGAAAGTAAAAATTTCAGTTTTGTTTTATATCCGTTAAAGAATATTAATGTGAATTTTCAATGTCTGCCTTTTTCAATTTCATTTTCCCTGTAATTAATTTGAAAAAAAGTGAATATAAAATTATTTAAGTGTCAATTAAAAATTTCCGCTGGAACACTTGGCGGTTCAACAAAAATTACAAAATTGATGAATCTAATTTTAAACTCAAAGCCGTCAAAAACCAAATTCTGGTAAGTTTCTTTCAGTTTTAAAGGAGCGGGGAGAGGAGGAAAAAGTCTTATTTTAATTCGAAGAGTGCAGAGCAATTATTTTGTTAATTCAAAAAGAGTGAAGACGGCAAGAAAGTTAGGGCGGGCCTTGTCTGAATTTTTAAATGCCAAAAAATGTTTCGTTGCCGATAATATAATTTCATTAAAATACTATTAAGATGCTTACAATTATAGAGAATATAAAATATTAATTTCATCCCAAAAAAATGGTGGGGATAAAAAAAAGAAAACCTAATTTTATACGTCAGGGCTTTTATCACATTTCAATCGATCTAAACAATCAAATCGCAAACTTAATGTTAGAATAGATATTATTGTAAAAAAAATCTAACTCTCTTTATGAACATTCTTTGAGTTCAATGTCAACACTTCATGGTCTGTTCATGGTGAAAAAAACATCATTTTTTAACGTGAAGATTACAAAATGAAGAAATCGGGCTTTTAGGAAAAGCCCGTTTTTTTTCTTCATTTCCATGGTCATCTCCTCGAGTGTCAACTTCTTCAAACTAAAGATTAATCCGGTTTAATTTATTTTATATAGTTGGTCCACAACAGTATGAGAGTTTATTAATTTTGCCAAGAAATAACATGGGCGTAATATCTGAATACAAATGTGCCTTGCTTCAGATATAAAAGCTTTTTTCTGGAGAAAAAAAATTAATTTTTCAATGCAACGACTGGAGGAAGTTTCTCTAGAAAACTACAATCATTTTTCCAGTGGAGTATTTATACTTAAATATTTCTCGTCATTTTGGCCGCAAATGGAGCGTGCAGCGGAATTTTTCGGTTCGCCCCCGACTTGCACCCCCATGCGTTTTCTTTCGCTTCTGTAATTTATCCTGCGCGCCGCACTGACGGCTGTCTCGTGTCAATAATCGCGTACATGAGAAGAGCCAGCTAGGAAATTCGACCCCGCCGGCCAGAAGAAGCAACTCATCTTATGGCAGGCCATGTGTTTTCGAAGCTGCAAAGGAACCACACGAAAAGCCATCAAGTGTGTGGCTGCAGCGCTGCTCTTTTGGTCGCTTTTACGACTCAGTGAGAAACTTATTTTTGACCCAAAAAGAGGAGATTATCCCTTCTGAAAGCGGCTTTTAATGCGATTATGCATTAAACTGTTATTGCCAGGGTGACCCTGAGTGATGTGCACAATGACGGGAACCCTACCTAGAGGGGAGCGTAAATGTGACACTCTTCACAAAGTAATTCTTTTCATTCACGATTTCCTCTCTGGAGATTTTGCTTCAATGGGAAAATTTGGAGTGGAGAGAGAAATTTGACACCCCAGATAATTGTGACGGAGGAAGAAGGTTTTAATTGAATTTCGCGGTGACAATTCAATTCACAGAAAATCTGATCAAAAGTAGTTTTCAATTAAAAATTAGGAAAAATATTATAAAAATGAACAGAGATCAAATTTGGGCTGTTTTTGTTAATTTTTCACCCAAATTGGATTTCAGTGGTAACAATTTAAAACACAAATGAAAAATTGAATAATAACGAAATTACTGAAAGAAAGCACCAAATTATATTACTTTAAATTATAATTTTCCAGAGAACTTGAAAACGTGAAATAAATTTATAAAAAAAACTAAAAAAAAAAGCTAAGCATGATTTTCATTTAATTTTTTAATTTCACTTTTTCATTTTTAATTCTCGTGAAATGAACTAAAATTTGAATTGGACTAAATAATTTTCTGAAGGGAATAGTTTGGAGTTAAAGTTTTGATCACGGGTCGGTGGTGAGGTCATCCATCTCGGCTCTCATTTCTTGTGTCGTCTGCCTCGCTCGGTCAACCAATTTATTATTCACTTGCTTAATCCGCGGCTCCCGCCCGACGCCTTCTTCTTGGGCCACGTGACTTGGAGCCCGACCAGCGCGGCGACGGTCGGACGGATCTTTTTCTTTCTTTCGTTTCTCTCTTTGGTTCAGTCTTCGGTCGTGCGCTCGCGAGAAGGGACGTGCGCGCGGCTCTCCCGATATAACACACGTTTGTTTTGCTTCATTCAAAAACATGAGCTGAACTTAACAAAGTGACAAAAAAAATACAAATTAAAATGTGGTCTCTGTGGATCTTCCTGTTGCTCTTCTCCACCACTTCAGCCCAGGGTCAGCATTTACAAACCAGAAATTTTGTACGAAAATTTTTCAAATTTGAATTTGCAGAGTCGGCTTGTTGCGCCCGAGCGACCGGATCGTGTCGCTCTGCTTGCGAAAAGGTAATTATAGTCTTTTATTTTATTTAAAATTTGTTTTTTAAACGATTGGATTTTATGTTCGTTCCTTTGGGAACGATTTTGGAATTTTGTTTTCGTTCGCGGCGAATTTACGACCTTCTCGGTCACGCAGCAGCTGATATGTTTTCTTCTCACAGAGAGTCTTGAGTTTCAGTTAATAAATTTCTTTCTACTCTCAGCCCCTGCTCGTCGTTTCGAGAGAGAAATATAATAAAAGTGTCCGGAGAGATTTTATCAAACGACTGAGTTATTGTGTCGGACCAAACGCGACAATTTTTCTTTTTTAAATTATTCTTTCTCTTCTCGTCGGCCGCCCCCGTACAAACATCGCGCGGCCGTGTGCTGAATTCAAAATTTTATTTTATTTTTCCTCCGCTGACGCAACAAAGATAATTTTAATCACGACTTCGGACGAAGCAAGTTTTAATTAATTATATCTCGGAGCTTAATTTCTATCGCGCAGCAGCAACTTCAAAGCTTGCTGGAAAAAATCATGCACGAGTAGCAGCAACTTTTTTGAGAGAGAAAATGGTTCATTAAGGGAGGCAGATAAGCCTGCAGAGCAGGCGGGTCATCGCCAGCGCAAAAAAAAATACTTGTCATGTGTTTATCTTATTAACCATCAAAGGACGGTCGTAAAAAAATATCCACTCCGGCCATGGTGCTTGTGAAAGTGCAGCAGTTTGAATTAATCGCATTAACACATGGGAAATAAATTACTTTTGACATTTGCACGCCAATTAAAAATTATATATATTTTCGTTGCAAATCCCTTTTTCTTTAAAGTTCTTTCCATTGAATTTTAAAAACAATATCCTGGAAAAAATGATCTTCAATTTGAATAAAGAATCAATAAAAGCTCGCGAGTGACTTCAAAATCGGAATTTGAAATCAGGTAGCATTTTTCATCTCATTCTAGAGACCTTCGACCCCACCTGTGGAGCAGAAGGGTTGCTTCACCTTGGGGGTCGTCATGTTCAAACCTGAAAATTCATGCATATCGTTTTTTAAGTCTCCCCCCTCATATCTCTTTGTAGGGAGATATTTAATAATTCTCTCTATAAAAATAAATCTTTGGGAGAAATTTTATAAACAAAAAAACTTAACTATAAGGCTATAAGGCGTGAAAATAAAACAATCGGAGAATTTTTTCACCATCGTAAACCATTCCTTTGAAAAGTAAGCGTATAGTTTACAAGGGACATTTTTTACATTTTTCTTTCTTATTTAAAAAAAAACTCAAAATCAGTCAATGAATTTATCCAATTCTATATTTAAATTTAAAGGTTCTGGTAAAAATAACTCAGTAAAAATTTAATTCTTTCTCCTTAGGCCGATAAAAATTTTCAAAAGATTCAAATCAAATTCCAGCAATTTCTTTATAACTTTTAATTTATTTTTATTTTGTATTTAATCCACATACAAAACTTTTCTTTCTTAATTATGGCTTTTTTACTTTTTTTTTCCTGATCTCGTTTTGTGTTTCGCGCTGCTGATCCGCTTTTTAAGCAGCATATATGTTAATTAAACGGCATTTAATTTTATTAAACCAGTTCCATGCTCATGTCTTGTCCGTCGGTTTCCATTGCCACGCCGTTCGCGATCTCAATGCAGAGATTGTGGTGCGAAAACCAACGCCACGCGGCTTAACTTTCTTGTGCTGTTATTATTAACTCGGGGAGATTTTCTTGAGTGTAAAAAATCTTGTGATAATCAATTCGAAATTTGCCGGTGATTTAGCGACTTTTCATAATAATAAGTTGCAGCGTCACTTGAGGTGCCGCGGAAACGAATATGAAGAAAACATTATTTTGAAATATGAAAACGGGAGTTGAGTATATAAATTGTGCAACAGGTTGTGACAGAGGAAACCAAAGAATTTTTCTTTTCGGTGAAGGTATGAAGTTAATTGACACCAAAGTGTGGTGGGACGAGCAAAGAGAGATTTATTAGTTTCATGGCCTTGTCACAAAACGCCGGCTGACATTTATGTAGCTCAAAGTTCATTTTCCTTTTGTTACTCAGGGCAGGTGTTTTTAATTATTTTTCTGGTGCAAGCAAATATAGGTTGCGGGAGAGATAAGAAAGTGGAGCTTCAACTTTTAATTCTAATTTCAATAATCAGTTTCTAATTTTTGAATCACTTAAAATCACCAGTAAAAATTTATAAAAATATAAAAATTATTATAGTCTAACAATATTATATTTACTTTAAAATTTTGTCCATAGATGTCAAATGAAAATAATTGGAAAAAATATTATTTTTGCTAGTAAAAATTATTTTATTATTTACGCACTGCAGTAATTATAATACTTGAAAATTAATAATTTCCCAACATCATTCTTAAATGTCAGTTCAAATAACAATATAAAAAAATACTAATTTTTCCTTGGATCCTATTTTTTTCCATATTATATAATTTTCAACATCTCATAACCTCTGAAAACATTTAATCCCCTCCAATTTAGTTGTGACTTGTCATAAAATATAAATTAAACTTTCCCACGCTTAATGTCTTAAGAGAAATTCAATACCTTCACAGAGGTCCTCAAAATGTGTGGTTTAAAAATAAAACTTTATTGCTGCTTTTGAAAATAAGAGCTGGCGGATATCAAATATATATATTCAAACCTAACCGCGCGTGTCGTTTTGTGTTTCATGTTTGTGGGACATAATTAGAAAAGCAAATAAATTAGGTGGGGTTTTTCTTTTTTGTCCCGTCGAGATGCAAATCTGGCCGCGAGTCAAGAATTCAACCGAGAGACCGTTTTCTTTCCTCCGGGTCCAGCGCAGCGGCACAACCGCCAGGGTGGTCTCGATTTTTCACACTCGCTCACAACACCAATCCTATGACAACTCAAATCTCAGAAAATAGAAATAAAAATAGAAAATAGTCCGTATGACTTTTTTTAAATTCACTTAAATCATAGCGAATTTCATTAGAATTTCACATTTGCGTAACTTTTTTAATTTATATCTAGGCGATTTAAAAGTTTTTACGCTCTTGAGGACCAAAATTTGACGCTATTTTTAATTTTTGGAAATTCAACAATATTCAACAAAACTTCTTTATTAAAATTAAAAATTAAAATTTATTTCAATCTTCTTTTGAATTATTTTAAGTTAAATTCATTAAATTGCTAAAATCAAGCTACGAAAATTGGCAATAACTCTCTAAATTTTTGTAAAAAAAATCGCACAAGTGTATTATTCTGGAACAATCTTGCATAAAATTAGAGCCCAACAAAATATCCACACTTTTTGGTGGTTTATCATCTTGTTTATTGCAAATTTGAACCAAAAAGTATTCTTAAAAAGACATTTTTAAATAGAGTCCATTAATACACTTCTTTTTGTCTCCCACAAGTGGAAACAAAAAAGTAAACGCTGCTGACCCGGCAGGTCACCGAAACCGGTCACGAGCGTTTTATTCCTTTGTCTCCACTGGTCGAGCGCGTCACGAAAATGAAAAAATGAGAGAAACGTCTCTCGCGTTTTAAACTTACTGATTTTTTCACTTGTGTTTTATCCGAGTCGCATCAAAAGGCAGCTCTGTTTGTGCAGCGCGCGCGGATTCACTCTTCAGTGAGCGCAAGTCAAGAAATTATTTGCTCTTAAAAGCTCTGCCTCGGAATTTTTGGCGCTTGCTGGGGTTAATTAGTTGAGAAAACGTACGCGGAAGAAAAGGGGACGCGCCTCATCCATCACGTCTCCAAATGACTCTTCTTTTTTTTATACTTTTCTATTTTTTAAATGTTTTTCTCGTGTCTTTTCCCAACTCGGGGTGGCCAGGCGGGTGAGGGAGAGACGAGACAAATAAATAATAAGCCACAGAGGCCAGGTTAGATATTCTTTTTGTCACGCGATCGCAAGTTGAGATAGATGTGGCCATACCAACTTCTCGGTGATGGATCGACCATTCATATTTTATAATATGCGTGCATGTTGTTTGTTCTCCTCCCCGCCGCGCACATCATCCCGACCGACCCGAGCTGTAGTGAAGACCTTTTCTTGACCCAAACTCACTCCCATTGATTTGGGCGAGAGACAAATAGGAAAGAATACACTAACAAAGAATAGTCAATTAGGTTTAGATTTAGAGCTACTTGAATTCAATATTTTTTATATAAATAACGCGAATGGTGAATTAGGACAATTATATTCAAAATATCTCTCAATTCTCTTAATTTTTTGGGTTTCGTTATTTCCTTCATACTTTTCAAACATAAAATCTGAAAGTGAAGGAGAATAGACTAGAAAAAAATATTCCTTTTTTTTAACTTGACTTTGCATTTTTTTGTATATGACGATTGAGAAATTTTGGTACATAATTGATTTACAATCAACTCTATAGATTATTTGAACGTTTAATTTTGATTAAAATTTTCAAAAGTTTTGACTTTCCGACATATAAAGCAAACTTTTATAGAGGAAATTAAAGTAATAAATTTTTTTTTAAATCAAATTTTACAGTATTAGTTTCCATAGAATATTAATTGGGTTCAAAATTGGGGAACCTGAACCTACTTATTTTGTCAAATTTAGTTGTAAATGGAAGTTGTTTTTGTAACAAAGTAACAAATTCAAGAAGCCATTGAGAGTAAATATTTTCATTATTTTTTCGGTATTCCTTAAAACTGTCTTCAAGTTTGGCGTTTCTGGTCTGAATGCATCAGACGTGCAACTTTAAATGTAATTGATTGTTTATTCAATATAAAATAACGAGAGGCGTTGTAAAAAGAGCAAATTATAAGAAAATATGGTTAATATTATAAATTAATCGTCATTACAACAAATATAGGGAGATCTGTGTAAATCGTTAAAATAAAAATTCTTACCGCATGCAAAATTTAATTTCATGTAATTTAAAATTGAATTCAAGTAGCAAAACGTTTCCAAGTATCACTTCATATATTTTGAATTGCTTTTAAAAATGCAAGAATCAATTAATTTAGAACATTTATTTTCCAATTCGTTCCACTTGGTCTGGAGCAAATGGCGAAACGCTAACTTCCCTTGCAAGCCGCTTTGCTCCTTTCGGCCACGCGGTTGATGTTTCAATCCAAGCGAGGGTGTTTTTGTCCGCGAGGTGTGACGCGCACATGTTTCCCCGCGCGCCTATTATTTATCTCAACGAGACTGGAGTTTTTTTTTCTGTGTTCGCAGACTCATATTCCACGCTTGCAAGAGCCTCCAGCCACAACAAAAAGCATAAAAAACGAGAGACGCGCAACTGTCGAGATGCGCTGCTCTCAAAAATGGAGATGAAAAAATTGAATATCGAGAGAGTGGGCGGTGCGGATTCGTGGAATTGAATTTATCTTTCTCATTCATTTAATTTTTTTTCTGTCGCCGGCGAGAATTAAAACAAGGCGGCCGATTATTCTCATTGCGTGAGTTTTTCCGTCCTTGATCTTTGTGCCGGTCGGGGTTCGAATATCGAATAATCCCCGTGGCCCCCTTCCTTTTCAAAGCTCACAAGACGAAGTCGTTCGTTCGTTCGTTCTCTCACTCGACAGTCGAGAGTCGCATAATAAATAATGAGCGTCAAGGGTTTATTTTCGATTGACTAAGCGAGCGCGCTGCAGAGAGCGACGAGGAGCCACTTCCGTTCGTTATTTATTCACTCGCTGGCCCGCGTCGTGTGTCGCGGATGAAAACGCCACAAAATCGTGACTGACAGTCTTAATTTTGATTTATGAATTCAACAACAACAAAACAAAACAAAAGGGGCAATTTGTCTGTTTGTCTCAATATTATCTATTTTCAGAACAAAATTTGGCCAAACGCGCGGTTTCAGAAATTTATGAAGAAAAAAAAATTGTTTATCAAATTTAATCAAATTAGATTTAGTAAATTATCAAAATGGATGCTATGAATACTTATTTACTACATCCAAGAATTAATTTTAATTTCAGCACTCAATAGTTCAATTTTTTATTTTTGGTCAGGTCAAGACAAAAGTGTTACCGGCCTGCCCTTATTTGAGTTTGCGGAAATTAATCAATTTCCATTGATCATTTAATTTTTCTATTGATCAAAAACAATTTTTAGGTTCAAATCTAATAAAAAATCGTTATTGATGATCAATTATTTCGATATACAATTTAAAAAGTGCTTGATGAGTTAAGGAGATGACTGACTATTCATATGTAAATCTTGTGGGGTAAGTGTAAAATTTAAATCATAATATCAAAAATTTCCGGTAGAGAAAATAAAGTTAAAGGAATAAGGGAATAATAAAAATAATTAGGAATGAACTATGTGATAATTCTTTGCACGTCTGTTGAAAAAATCAATAATCAGCAAAAAACGCAGCAAGCGTGGTTCAATTTTTATTTTTATAAACTCACCTGTCACATGATGACTTAATTCAAGAATTAAGAATTCAATTAAATAACAAAATGTGGCTTCTTTGTAGTTTGCCTTTTTGTCGGCGAGTCTCTTTTGATTATCGGGCGATTAGCAGACATAGGGGATGTAAACCCTTTCTTCTTCAAATTTCAATTTTTTCTTTTTCTTATTTATCAAGAGGAATAAAATAATAATGATGTGTATTCAGATTTATTTTTATAGTTTTTTATTTTTCATTTGATGATAAAAGGGAATAGCTTTGAGACTGTGACCAAAACTGCTTTTTATTCAGAATATAAAAGACAATATTTGAAATTATGATGACTGAAATAAACAGCGCAAAATTAGTAAAAAATGAATTAACACGACATCAAATTTTACCCCGCTTTTTTCCTTTTAAAGCAATTTGAAAACACGCCGGATCCCAAGCTTGTAACAAAGCGTGGGAAACCTGATAGTCCGATGGACATGCACGTTTCCTGTACAAATTTTTGAAAAGTCGCCAGCGTTGGTCGCGTCTCCGAGCTTGATTGGCGCGCGCGAAATTCACGCTCTTGTATTTATTCTTTTTTATTATATGCGCGGACGTGACTCGAAAGTGCGGCAGCATTTTTCAAACGCGCGCCTCGCGGTTCTAAATTTATGCACTTTTTGCGGCTCTCTATTTTCAAACCCTTGAATCCACGCCCAACGCGTGGTCGCTCTCAAGAGACTAATTCCCAATGAGAGGGCGAGAGGAAAATCTCTCCGAATCTAAAAGCATCTCTGCTGCGCTCCAAAAAATACATAAGCGGATTTGAACGCGAGCTTTTCAATTAGGATCTATTTGCTTTTGAAGAGATGAGAGAGCCACGCCTATAAGATTTAGGCAAATGCGTTACAATCGAAAATTTTCAAATGTTTTATAATCGGATATGAACGGATATTCATTGTTAGCGAAATTTAAATTCATTCCATTGAACTCGCTGATTTCAAGAGGATTGAAACTGATTATAAATATGTAGATTAAAAAATATACTATAAAATTATATTGATTGATTATTATTTGTTTACGTTTGCCAAATTCTACACTACAATCATGAAAAAGTTTAGAATTCTCAATAATTAAATAAATTAACTGTAATTCTATTTTCTTCTAGTTGCAAATTGTGTTTATTAATATATCACCAAGCATCTATCATTTCAGGAACTAAAGAGACAAACAGAATGTTGAGAATTTATTTGAAAAATTTATTTAATCAAAATTATCATATGTTATTGTTTATTTGTCCAATTTAAAATTGGGAAAAAATTAAATTAATTCAATTATCTCTTTTCAAAATTATTTTAACTAATTAAGAATATCTCAGTTTAATGCCATCAATTTCCAATGAATTTTTGTAATAAATTTAAAACGAAAGTTTCGTTTTAAATTAAAATTCTCTTGCATAATTATGCTAAAGCATTGTTATCACAAAAACTTGTTTTCGTAAAGATAAAGAGAAAAAACTTGTTCTTATCTTAGCAAGGTGCTATTTACCTTGCAATTATTTTAATAGAGCGAGTTTATTACATAAAATTAGGTAAATGAAGCAGGAGAGCATGTTTATTTTAATAGACTCTAATTAAAAATAAAATCAAGTCATTGCCAAGAAAAAAGTGAAACTTTATAACCTTTTGATAGAAGCTGCCTGGAATTTTCTGTTAGCGCGAATTTTGGCCGAATTCCAGCAGGAACTTTTCTTAGGGCGTGGATTTTTGTGCGTTTTAATGCCGTGAGACGCGCGAAATGAGCAAAGAAACGCACCTGCTTGCGCTCTCGCGCATACCAATTCAAAATATTGCCACCGTGTGCCGCGAATGTCAATTATTTCAAAATACATATTCTTATTTTGCATTTGCTGAAAGAATAAAAATCTAGGTACTCTTCCAAATAATTTTTATTTTTATGAAAATATCCCTTACTTCTGAAAATTTTTATGAAAAAAAAGAGAAAATTTCAGAGAATTTTAATGAATTAAATAATTATATAAAAAACTGGCTGTTCCTTGCTGATTTTGTATAAAAGTACAAAAAAAATAACGCAAAGAAAAAACATATTATACATTGGAAAATCACATTAAAGGTGAATTTTTTTCCAAAAATCTGGACATAATTGGAAAAATAACTCTCAAAAACTATATTTTTTTATAATCTATAAATTAAGAAAGATTACGAAAATAAGTATACTAATTTTTGCATGATATTAAATATATTGGAGCCATAAATAACAAAATAATAAAATTGTCAAAACGGTCTAAAAACACAACGATTGATTGAATATTAACAAAAAAAAAATGTTTTTTTTCCAGATGTCGTTGGTGAGCGTTGCGGCCGATCCAGCCGAGTTGCATTTGCGCGTCGATGAGGTGCAGAAATTCTGTCCAGACCAAATGGTGAGAAAACAAAGAGCTCAGGTTTTTTCCTCTCTCTCTCCGATCTTTGATGCTGCTAGTCAAGATTTCGCAGCTGCAGCGTCTTTTGTCGTAAAAGGGACGTGTATTGTGGACGGGATTAGCAAATAAAGACGCCCCTATAGCGAAATTAAAAGCTTCCTTTTCCTTTTTTGCGCAGCGCGCGCGGTGGCGAATTTGACGGCGCAAGAGCGCTTTTTCTCGCACGCAACTCCGCGAAGAATAGACAGGAAATTAGCTTATTATTATTTAATCCATACATTAATATGCATAATGAACACGTTCAAAACAATTCGCATTGATGGACGGAAAAAAATATAATATGATTCAACTGATATGAAGAAATTTCTTTGCATTTCATTATTTTTTATTTTACAAATCATTTAACAAAAACTCTGTAAAGAATTTTCCGAAAGGGATATTATTTTATGTTGCCAACTTCCTTAATTGGGATTTGATATGAAATTAATTTCATGCATTTTCAATAATTCATTTCGGTCAGAGAGTTTTAGTTTTTTGTTTGAATAAAATTTAAGAAAATCTATATTTAAGACAAATTAAAGCTTGATAAAATTATCATCTAAAAATTTTGGCTATTAAAAAACCATAGCTTCCTTTGTTGAATAAAATTTTATTGACGGAAATAAAACCATTTAAATCTTATAACTAGAATGTTTTCTATTTTTTTTTTTCAATTCCTCGGCAGTAAAAATAAAGTGCGGCGCATTTTCCGCGCGAGTTTGGCGTCTCGTGGGACAGGTAAAATCTGTGCTTTGTTGACAAAAGGGAATCCGAACTGGCGCTGCCGGGGTCTTTATTTCATTGTTATGTTCCCTTATTTTTTCCTTTTCATCTTCAACTCTCCCATTTCTTTCTATATTCTTCGGCAGACAATAATAATGCCCCGCGCGCTTTCCGCTCCTTTGTCCAATAATATCTGTTCAGAAAAAAATATAATTATTATAAATACAAGATTTAATTTTGCACTCCTATAATCACAGGTGCCGTTCTGGGAGTGCATGAACGAGACAATCAGAGGTAAGAAAAATCCCACAAATTTTCAACTTTGGCTTGCATGTGATGAGATGAAATTCGCGAATCTCAACTCGCAGCGGGAGATTCTCTCTCGGACAAGCTCGCGTTTGTTTTATTAGTCAGCAAAATTCCAGCATCATTGAAAAATGAAATAAAAAGTAACTGGCGTCCTGCTGAGAAAAATCTGCATGAGACACAAAAGTTAATTATTTTCTCTTTGGCAAAACAGTTCCTTTGTATTTTCTTCTCTGCAAAAGAAAAAAATAGCATAACATAATAATCAATATGATTATTTACTTTTTCAATTAAAAGGTATAAAAGTAAAAAAAAATTAAATTTAAGCAGCTAAATATTAAATACCACATATTTTTTATCGTTGGCGTTAATTATCCATTCAATGAAAATGTCTCTTCTTCTCAGAATATTTCTGATTTTTATAATTTCATCTTCCAAAAAAATCACATTTCGCTTAAAGAATGTTTCGAAGCCGATTCTTTCAAATTAAGCCATTAAATCCAACTCTTTCCCAACAATAATTTAATACCACTAAATTTTTTTTACATACGCTGGCATTTAAAAAATAATCATGAGATTTTTAGGCCCCACCATTCTTAAATAAAATATTAACTATTGAAAGAACAAAATTTGGCACATTAATTAACTTTTGAATTTAAATCTTAAATCTGAGGCCCGAGTGATGTAATCCTGGTTTCTCTTAAAAATTTCTCCTCCCCTTGAGTCATGCAAAAATCCAATTTCGAAAGTCGATTTGGTGTTTGCTCTTGAGCAGACTCTCGAGGATTTGCACTGCAGCAAATGAGCCGCAGATAAGTCGCGCGACGAGAGTCGAGGAGATGAAAGGGAAAAGGCGTTTACGCGTTCGCACCTGGCTATCTCGGCTTTAGCGATCTGCCAAATTTCTCCTTCCGCAGAGCAGCAGCGAGAGATTAATTCGGTGCTGCCTGATTATTTGTTTATTCGGCGGCGCGCGTTGCCTTTGATCTCGATCGCCAACAGAAGCGCAACACAGCCCAGAGAGAAAGGGTTCTTTAGCGGCCACATCAAACGCGCGCGTTTCTTTTCGAATAAGAAAAAGAAAACGACCCCAGCTCTCTCGCGCCTCCTCACCAAAATTATAAAACCGTCCAACCGGAATAACAAACTGATGGATGCACGCCTCATTGAAAATCCAGGAAACTTCAGTCAAAGTATTTTTTTTTTTTAATTTCGTGAAAAACGGTACAAACAAATAAAATACTAAAATGGAGGAATTTTTATGATTTAAAAATATCCGGATTCATATTATTTCTAAAATTAACTTATCCACAATTAAAAAAATGCTCCTCGAAAAATTTTCATTTTTTATTTTCCACTTTTGATGAATGGGTAGAAGTTGTCTCGTTTGTCTGCGCGTCCGTGGTCCGTGTTTCTTTCTAAATTTAAAAAAGTCTCTCTGGGCGATGGCACGCGCCCAACCGGTTGCCCGCCTTTGTTGTCCCTCGGCTTTGATCTCTTCGCTCGGCATAGCTGCCGAAAGAAAAGAGCCTTCAGTCGGCCGGAAAAAAGACCAATTCGTCGCGGTAATTATTATTATTCTTTGACAATGAAAATAGAAACAAACCTGATGGATAGACTTCCCGCGCGGTCGTGGTGGCTTCGTCGATCGGCCGCTCGTGGCGACACCGGTCGGTTCGAATGGCAGTGCGAAGGTTCCGCCGTCAGAGGCGCTGAGTACGCGTCGGCAAGCAAAGTGAGTGAGAAGGCTCACTTTGTCGACAGAAATTAATTCGGTTTTCAAATTTTGTGGACAAAACTTTATTTTAATAAAAGCAAAAAACTACGTTTGCCACGAATATAATACATTTATATGTAGTAAATTAATAAAAAATTAAATATAGTCATACTAAAATTTAGAACTAAATACGACCAGGTTTTGAAGGTACGAATGTACCCCCAAACTGGTTGGCATCATCAATGTAGTCTCTTCGGAGCTACATATACTAAAATTGGAACGATACAGAGAAGATTAGCATGGCCCCTGCGCAAGGATGACACGCAAAATCGTGAAGCGTTCCACATTTTTTTTTTTTTGAAATTCCATTAAAATATTGTGAAATCACCAGTGATTTCTTTTTTAATTTGCATAATATAAGAATTGAAAATTTTATTGACAAACTAAAATGGAAAAATATATTAAATAAAATCGTAGCTCTATTTTCTTGCATAATTGTCAGGTCAGGGGTTTCAAAAATTTTAAGTTTTCAGTACTGCCATCTCAGAATTTAAAAAAATGTGGAACGCTTCACGATTTTGCGTGTCATCCTTGCGCAGGGGCCATGCTAATCTTCTCTGTATCGTTCCAATTTTAGTATATGTAGCTCCGAAGAGTCTACATTTACTTCAGCAACCAGCACGGGGATACACTCGTACGGTTATAACCTGGTAGTATTTAAGTAAAAATTTGAATTTATAATCAAATTTAATTTTCAACCGGCCAAATTTTCTTCAAATCAGTATATTTGAAATATCCTAGGTTTTTCGTTTTAATTAAAATCAAGTGAAACGCAAAATATCGCGTATTTAGCCATCAATAATCAACAGCCTGCCGAGTTTGCGGCTCATGTCACAATCAGTGCTTCAGGTCTTTGCATTTTAGAGACTTCTTTGTCGTTCTTATTATACATTTTGTATTTTTCTCTCATGTTTTCCGACTGGAATAAGCAATCTAAATTCAAATGAACATATCGGTGATAGAATAGTCAAGAATAGTAATTAATAATTTCTTTTAAATAATAATTGTTACACATTTATTAAATTTACTTTAAAAAATTTGAAAAAAAACAAGAATATCATTATTGTTAATATGTACCGAAAAAATGGAACTAATTTGGTATGAAATTTTGCAGACATTAAGCGCGGCGGGAGTTGGTCAGGCCGCTTGTGCTGTCCATTGGCTCTTTCGGCGCGTTGCCAGACCTCGTGCGTCAAAGCGTCGTCGCGCTCCGACCTGACGCTCAACTGTCGGCAGAGCGACGAGATCGACTTCTTCAGCTGCCTCTCTCGTCAGGAGGTGAATAGTTTTTATTTCATTCGATGAATTTTCCATAAATTTTAAGTTTTCAGGTCGGCGACGAGTGTTGCGCTCCGGCCCATTCGCCCGAGTGTCGCTCGGCGTGCTCGGCCGTTTTCCGGACGGAACGCACGCCTAGCAGGGCTGCACTGGAGGCCGTTTTGGAAACGTGCGGCGAACGCAGCCCGCGGGTCCGCCAATGCGTCAGAAATCACACCAAACTAATGCCGGCGCACAACACTGAAAAATGTAAATAAAAATAAAAAGTCAAAAATTGATTTGAAAATACTTATGAAAAAAATTAATTGTTTCTAACAATTAAAAATAATTGGTGCTTAAATAAAATTTTCTGTTCATATTATGTAAAATTATTTATTTCTAATATTGAAAGAAAAATGGAAAATTCTCTCTCCATTATTTCTGGACAAAACTTTATTTTTAAACATATTTTTAATTTAACTTTTAAGCAAAATTATAATAAGTGAAATTTATTTAATTATTCTGCCCTTTAATAAACTATTTAGTTTTTTCATTTAAATTGTATTAAAATAATTATTAATTTAAAATTAAATTAAATTTTCAAATTTTTTTGTACAGATTTGCACTGTTGCGAGAGGAGTCAAAACTTGCAGTGCAGCGAAACGTGTCGACGCGCGTTGCGGACGAAAACGACGCAACACGAAATCGTGGACGCGCTGCAGGACGGAGGCTGCGGCGCCCCCATGCAATTTGACTCGGTGCTGTGATTCCCTTTTGTAAACGATTTTTCCTCTTATTTTGCCTTCGGTTGATCAGGACAAGGTGTGGACGTGTCTGATGCAGAGCGGCAACTCGGCGTCCGGGCGTCCGTCGTCCGGCAACTCAGGCGAGGCGTCGCGCATCGACCGGACGGGCATCGACAGCGCCAAGCTGCATTGCTGCTCCAAGGCGCGCAGCCCCGCGTGCCGCCTCCACTGCGTCAAGACCTTCCAGAACGAGTGGTCGCGCAACGACGTCTTCGACCGCGACTGCCTCTCACAACCGCACGAGGAGAAACTCGTCAGGTGCATCACTGACGGTGAGCCAAAGTTTATATGAATTTTTTATTTTTATTTAGTACTTCAAATTTACTTTTTCATGAAATCCGCCTCGAGTTTTAACTTCCAGAAATAATAAAATAGATTTTAAATAATATTGCCTTCAAGCCAAAATGTTATTTTCAACAAATTTGGACTAAATGTTTTCTTTTATTTCATTTTAATTGTATACTTAAAATTTATTTTATGTAATTCTCTATTATCGCCCAGTTGAAGAGCCGTGCGAGTTGGGGTGCGACGGATTGAACTACTGCACGAATCTGAACCACCGTCCGACGCAGTTGTTCCGCAGCTGCAACGCGCAGGCGGACGAGGCGGCGCGTTTCGACGTGACCCTCTGGCAGCAGCAGGGCTTCATTCAGATGCCGGGCGGCTTTTCCCTGCCGGTCCGCAACACGTCGCACTGCAACCCCGACGCGTGGAAGGCGGTCGCGTGCGCCCTGCAGACGCGCCCCTGCCACCCCCAGGAACACACATCCAACATTTGCTTCCACGTCAGTACTGCTAAATTTTCCTATCAAGTCAAAATTTTACTCGACAATTGAATAAAAACAATTTTATAGAGATAAATGGGGAAAAAATAAGAAAAATTAAAATGACGGATAAAAATATTAATTAGAGGCTAGTTTGGAATAAAAATCAGTTTTTTTTTCAACAGCGCTTTTGTAAATAAGAGAGAAAAATACTATAGTGGTGATGATGAGCTAAAATAAGGAAATTAGGAAAATTAATTAAATATTAAAAAAATAGAAACTATTGCAATTTTATAAGATAATGCTAAATAAACTTTAAGATTAATCCCAATCTGTAATTAAATTCAACTCCAAAAAATTGAAATTATTCAAACAATGCATTTAAGACTGTGCCTTTGTTTTGTGTTGATTATGAATAGTATGAATTTAAGTTCTGCAATTTAAAAAAATACGCTTTAATTTCAGGATTGTGTGGAGTTGTTGAGCGAGTGCGTGGACCAAGAGCGGCTGCCGGCAGGGGCGAGCGTGGCGACCATGTGCGGCCGATTGTCGCCCGAAGGCGCCTCTTGTATTTCCCTGCGCAACTTTTTGCAGCCAAGCGCCGAATGGGCCGTCGCAGCCCTCGACCTGCAGGTCACGGCACCCTGTCGCGGTGACCCCTGCAACGAGTCCGAAGTCTGCGTCGTCAACCGCAATTGTCCCGCCGGAAAAGCCTGTCCTCAATATTCTTGCATCAAAGGTAAACAGAAAAAATTAATTTGTTTTATTTTTTAATTTAAAAAAACATTTACAAACATATAAAAACGCGACGTCATACCTTTTTAAATTAAATTTCGCCTTTAAACTTTTCTAACGATTGAAATTTGCTAGGCTTTCATTTTTTAAGAATGTATTCTTTTTTCAATTAATAAAAACAATTTTTTTTTGCCAATTGTTACTTATGAAAATTTAATATTATTTATTTCAGGTTGTCGTTTGGGGGATGTGTCGCAGTACGTGGTGCCTCGTGGCTCCTACATGAGGTTCCCAGTGTCTCGGGGCAGCAAGAGTTGCATCAAAATTTGCCAGTGCTCGGCAAAGGGCACTGCAGAAAGTTGCGTCCAGCTGCCCTGTTACTCGCTTGACGCTTGCATGCTGGGATCATTCAAAATTGGTAAGCAAATCTATTTCCTTTATATTTTTTTGCATCTAAATTTTTCAACTTCGACAGTTAACTCTGGTTTATAAAATTAATACATCTTTATGATCTTAAGAAATTAATGAGTTTTGAAGAAACTCTATTTGACCCTAAAAATAAATTTCCAAAATCAACGACTTTTTATAGACGTATTCGATTATTGAAACGTAATTACACTGTCATGACAAGGTTTTAAAAAATTAATTTTAAACTATATTAAAATATGTTTGTTATAGTCTGTTGTTTTAATTGTTATTTTGAAGCATTTTGAAGTTAAAATTTAAATACATTGCCCTGATCTACAACTTCAAAGTTGTTTTTTAAATTAAATAATGAACTATATGTATTATTGAGTAATTATGATTTGATTGAAAGATAAAATAATAATAATAATAAAAATACCCAAATAATAAATAAAATTGGAGCTTTCCTTCCGCAAGTTCAAAAAAGGGCACCGGCCGATAAGACACTTTGTCTTAGCCTGACCAAAATAAAATCATTAAAAGTAATTAAGGCATTTAAAAAATATTTTTGTGAAATCACGTTTTATCGTGTATTTATTTCAGCAACTGATTTTCTTTCAATCATTCATTGATTTTTCAATAAATTAATTTTTAATCACTTATTGAATACATTTAATTTTTATGTTCATAACATTACTTTACAGAGCACGGCGACACATTTTTCATGGACTGCAACCTGTGCAGTTGCTACGCGGGCGAGATAACGTGCAGCAAAAGACACTGCGAGCCACTTTCGACGCCTCATCAACCCTACTCCAGTTTACCCTGCAACTGCCCCGCGCACCACATGCCCGTGTGCGGCCGAAACGGAAACACCTACCCATCTGCGTGCCTTGCAAAGTAAACAAAAGTTTCATAAATTATTTAGTAACATTATAAGCAAATGCAATAAAATGGAATTGCATGAACAGATGCGCCGGTTTGAAAGACTCGGACTTTGACATGGGCCCCTGCTCGAGCCGCGACCCCTGCGACCCGAACCCCTGCAGCGTTGGCCGGTGCGTCCCTTTGCGCCAAGTGTGCCTTTCACATTTCCACAAGACTTGTCCCCAGTTTGAGTGCGGTGAGTTTTTGGACTTGTAATAAAATTGTTTTTCAAACAAAATATTAGTATAAAAACATTCTTAAAAACTATTTTGTTGAAAATTCCAAGCCCATTGAGAAGAATTATTGAAAGAAATCTTTAAATTTGTTGAAAATTTTAGTTATAAAATAGGTTTAAGTTTAATTTTCCCCATTTTTATGGTAAAAATTTAATTGCAAAAGAAATTTGTAAAAAATGCGTAAATCATTCGGCATGAAAATGCATTTCAACATACTATACATAAAAAAAACATTAAAATAAATGGAGATATTATTTTATAATTTATAAACATAAATAAAAATGTTGAAACCAACAAATTTGTCTTGCAGTTGACACCAGCAGACCGTGCTCAGAGGCGACGTTTGACCCTGTGTGCGACGCCGACAACCAAGAGCACCCCAACCTCTGCTACTTGGTGCAGTATAACAAGAGACTAGCTTACAAGGGCAAGTGTTTGGTAAGGATAAAAATTATTGAATTTTAATTGTTAGAAATTGATTATCCGTAACAAGAAGACTTTTATTTAATAAGATTAAATTTGTTAAGAGCCTTAATGTTGGGGAAAATCGATTTTGACCATTTCTAGCCGATCTGCCTATTTGAAAATGTTTCTGCATTTAAAGGGTAAAAATATCTGCCTATATTTTCAATTAAATTAAAAATAATTAAAAATTAAATTAAATACTTTTTCCCATTCGCTCGCACTGATTCAGTAATTAATGCAAAATTATTAAATATTAAATAAAACTCCAATATATCTTTGAGTAAATAAATGTCTATTAATTGTATTAACAACTGAAAATATTTGTTTAAAATTTAGAAGGTGAAATAATATTAAAAATATAAAATTTAAAAATAAATCGCATTAAATTTTAAAGTTTATTCTATTTTTACAGGCCAACTGTAAATGGGTTGGCGTCGTGTGTGGTGCCGACGGCCAAAGTCACCTTTCCGAATGTGCAGCTCTGGCCTCCCGAGTGGCCGTCGACTACGAAGGTCCCTGTTTGGCCGTTGGCCTGGCCCTTCCCGCGGCCGCCCCCCAGTGCGGAGCCACCGTGCAGTGCCGGCCGCTGGCGGCCGCGGGCTGCGCGGCGGCCACTCCACCAGGGGCCTGTTGCCCAGCGTGCGGGGGCGCCTTGCGAGTGCTCTTCAGCCAGAAACAGGCCGACCGCGCTGTTCTGGCCGTGCGACGGCCGTCGGCCGTCTCAGTGGCCGCCGTGCTTGCCGCCTTGGAGCGGCACGTGCAGACGGCTGAGTGCCGACTGCTCGGCCACCTCACCGTCGAGGCCGATCTCTTTGTGCAGGTGCGGCCAGTGTTCTCCCACCCCTCGGCCCTGCAGCTGGCCGCCTGCGTGGCCGAAGCGCACAAACTGGCCGCATTGGTGCAGCAGGACAGCCCCAGGCTGCTCAGCGAGCTCAGTCTCTCCGTTTTGACAGCGGCCGAGGTGGCTCACGGCCCGGCAGCCGTGGCCGCCTCGGCCTCTACCCTGGCACTTGGCGTGTGGCCGTTGGCCGCAATTGTGGCCGCCCGACTCGTTCTGTGATAAATGAAACTGCGAGAAACAACAAGAAAAAAACAGTGACGTGTTACCAAAAAGTGATTTTCACCTGACTGCGGAATTTAATTTTTTTTTTGTTTTTTTTTTGAAAATTTTGAGCCAAAGTGACCATATGAGATTGTTTTTATCCCCAAGACAAACTCAAGCTGTGGCTTTTATTTCATTCGTCAAGACTGACGCCATTATTATTATACCAATAATAGTGTTTAAATAAGTTTTTGTGCTACTATAAATAAATAAAAGAAAGAATGATGAAATGAAAACCAAAAAATCACACAATCAGCTCAGGAAAAGCTAAATGTATAGTGACGAGATTTGACTTTGAAGCTGCAATAAAATTATAGAACATTTTACATAATATAGAAACTTGTGTTATCTTTAATAGATACCTCTAGTCTAAATGTATCAAGATTGAAAAATGTGATTTCTAAACGATTCTATTGATATCATCACTGCTAACTAAGAAGGGGAAGTGGATCTAAAAAAAAATAATAATAAGAATAATAATCTAAACAAGTTTACAAAATATGATATCTTAAAGTCTCATTTTGGATGCGGAAAACTTGTAAGAAAGTTTCAATGAATATTTACAAATATATTTTGGTTAGCAAATTTCCTAACAGCAAAGCCAAAAACGAGTAACAGTGATAAATTGCAAAATCAGTTAAAACACTGCATCCTGTATTTTTCAGTTGAGGTTAGGAAATTCATGCGACTCGTTAGCGTAATTTTGACGTCATTTTATATGGAATTGAAATTTTTCAAAGGAAGTGCGGCCTGCAGCTAAACACTCAAACAGAGTCGTGTATCAACATTAGTTAGTCGATCATTCATTAATAATGAGCAGAGCGGTTGCTATAACTGTTCTTTTACTTTCGTTCGTGATTTTGGTGAGAAGAATAGACACATAAAAATTATGCTTTCATTAAATATGCCAGATTCCCCAGTAGGTTTAATTTTGAATCGCTTTTATTTTCAAATTGGGCCTATGCGCTATAGTAACGCTTTTTTTCTAGAGCTGGCTACTACTAATTCTTTCCCAATGTTATTCCACTTTCACATTTTGTCTGCTTGTTACAAAAAAATAACAATTTAAAATATCGAAACAGTATTTCGCTGTATTTTCAAGGGGAAATGAAGTTAAAACTATATTTTAAAATAAAGCTACACTTTCTGGAGGGAGCACGGCAAAAAGATGCTTCAAAAACTTTTGGTAATAACAACATGAATTTCATTGCTTGGAAGCAATTAAAATAATCCAACTTGAGCAGGTGCAGGTAAAAGCAGCAAAAGACAAGCTTTTAAAAAACAAAAAAGAAATACGATAATCAAATGCTGCGGAGAATTCTCGTGCTTCAAAGGGACTAAGAATTTGACTTCAACTAGTTCAACTAAAACCACAAGTCTTTTGAAAGCAATGTCTCCAGTATTATATTCCCATTTCACTTTTATTTGATTCTCAAAACATTTGCATAAAAATTTTAAGGCCATCACGATTAAGGAAGAACAAACGGAGCAGGGAATTTCTGAAATGACCACCGAATTGCCAACGGAGGAAACTTTCCTGACAACCCAGCCGCCCCAAATCATCAAGACTTCTGTTCTTGTGCCACATGTCATCCCTACAATAACAACAACTATTTTTGTTGAAATTAGCACTGCCTCTGTACCGAAATCTACTGAAACCAGCAGTAGTTTTTGGGCTGAAGTAACAACCAGTGCACCTACTATAACTACAATAACTACTACTACAACCACTACAACTACCACCACACCTGTATAAAAAAAAAAACATTAAAAAAGTTCATATTTTTTTTAAACTAATTTTCGCCCAGCCGTGCGTTAAATCCAACTGCCAGACTTTCAATTTGCTCCAGCAAATTGTAAGTCAAATCATTTATTTTATTATAAAAATGCTTTATCACTCTCCTTGATTAGGTAAACGCCACAACACCGAAACGTAAGTGTAAAATATACAAAATTGCAGAATTTTTTCATAAATTGCGAACTAGTAAAAGATATTAAGTGAAAAAATGGTTATTTCTTAAAACTCAACGATGGTTGCTCTTTCTTGTTCGTGAAATAGGGTTGAAGATCGTGCCAAAATAGTACATTTGGTTATTGTTTTCTTCAACTCTAATTGCCTGTTATTTTGCTTCACAATGCTCTCAATAGTGCCCACTTTTCTCAAATGATTTCCAATTCCAGGAACGGTACCAATTTAATATTATTATTAAATAAATAAATTGTTGGATCCCTTATAATTATTGAAGTTGGTCAGGAGCTTTGAGAAAACTACAAGACATATAAATCCACAATTCAGATTTGCAAAGTAGATTGCACCGAAAAAATTATTTCCATGCCACCATATTTGTTTTAGTTTGTAAAATATCAAATATAATTTGAAAAATCAACGCCAAATTGCAGCCTCTGCGCTGACTGGAGCTACTTTTGCTTCCTGTGGCCGTTCATATTTTGTAGGATCGCAAGCAGTAAAAAATAATTTATTAGTTTTCATGGAACCACAGAATTGTGATTTTGATATAATATTTTCCAATCGCAGGCGACGGTTTCGTCAGCGTCCTTGAATTGCAAGGCTAAAAATTTGAGTCTTGTTTCCATCGGATCGACAGATGAATTTGCATGTCTGCTGGATTTGTACAATTGTACCCACAGACGATTTTTTCTAAACGTGTTGATAATATATTGAACCCAAATTTAGCTGTACAAAGCTTTGGCCTTACCTACTGGACTAGCGGCTCGAATGAGGGCGATTTTTGCGACACCCTGAACGTCTACAGCTGGTGCGCTTTGAACGACACCCTGTTGTCACCACTGCTCTTTCGAGAAGTCGGCGACGATTCTTTTTGGACGAATTTGACGGCCGCAAATCAAACAACCGACCGGTGTTTGGCCTTCAAATTCAACACCACTAAAATCGAACGCAAAGGATTGCAACACGTAGGGTGCAACAAAACCTTTCCCTACATATGCGAGGTCATTAAAAAAATTATTTTCTTCCGTAAAATTTCATTCATTTTAACAATAGCCTCCCTGTCTGGAACCAAGCTGCCCACCGAGCTGCAGGATTAATGTATGATTAAATGAATTCAATTCCAGTTTTAAATATTGAAATAAAAAAACAGAAAACTCTATTTGACGCGAATCAAAATGTCAAAGGTTACACCTGTGTTTCCAATTAATGAAAAATTGGTTTGAATCGAATTTTCAATTTTAAGATCAACTTTCGTATGGATTTTGGACACAACGTTGTGGCAGGCAATATTTGTTTGGAAACAGGCCCGTGAGAATTACTTGATGTTTTATTAGTTGATTGATTAAATCTAATTATTATTATCATAATGACCTGTTGTAAAGGCAAATTGGAGATGTACTATATATGTCTAATGCAATAAATTTTGACCTAATCTAATCTTGACAAGATTCAAGATTTAATCAACTATTTACAAAATTCTTAACCAGGTGACCTGGGAGGAAAATTGGAATTTGTGTTGCAGTCTGGGGATGGCCCCTTTGGTTTTGGAAACTTACGAGGAGCAGATGTGTTTGGAAAACATGACCAGAAGTGCACAAAATCCTAAAAATAAAAATGGAAATGGAAATTTTGTGATTCAGGCAACTGGACTTTGAATTTCAATTACTGGACGGCGGGCACTCAAAAAGAATGTCCCGGTCAGTGGTCCTGGTGCGACCCTGGCAACAACTACCTTCACCTGAAAAACAGTCTCAAGTGGGAAAAAGGCCAGCCGGACAACAACGGTGGCAAGGAGGACTGCGTGCACCTCAGGTTTGTTATGAATGAGACCGGCACAATTTTGACGGACAGAAACTGCACCAGCAAGTACATCTTTCTATGTGAGGTACTCGTCGATTTACTTCAGTAATGATTTTCTCATCAAGTTAATCTAAATAAAAACCCAGAGTCCACCTGGCGACATACCGAAACCACCTTGCGCTCAGCCAACGTGCCAAATAGCAAAGGAGAAAAATGTAGGAATGTTTGTTTTTATTAAGCTTTAAAAAGTCTCTTTTGAAAAACATATATACCTTATTAGACTTTGATATAATTAAAAGTTCCTAAAATAAAACGGTTTCTAACATAGACTTTTAACAAAATTCTGAAAAAATTTATTCAAGCGACAACTTTTCTATACCTCTGTTTTCCCGTTTTTTTTATATCGGTGCATAATTTTAAAATAATTGGAATAAGGCAGATTTCTATGTAAAATAAGTCTAGCATTTGTTTTTCTCAAATAATGTTTTGTATCTTGAAATCGCTTCAAAAGTGTTCGATTTTGAACATTTTGATACATATTTCATAATTTCAACACAGAAATAATAGAGTTTCAAAAATTATTTGCGAAAAAATTGGAATTTTAAATTTTTCTAGTCATTTTGAAATAATAAAAAATTCTCATTATAATGATTTTGATAAAAAGAGTCTTGAATTAATAATGAAAAATTTATCAGTGCGTTATTTCTTTTAGCAATCACTCTTCTCTGGCAACGAGCTGATGAGTTAAATTTTAAATTTTGCCTTCAATTAATATTTTACATTAATTAAAATTTTTGGAATCAGATTTTTACAGTTACGGTTCTTGGGTGGCGTCTTGTGGGCGAAATTTCTTATTTTCAAAAACAAAGGTATCTAAAGAATTGTGGACGACTTAATGTAATCTAAAATGATAAAAAAGGCGAATTACTCTGAAGCATGGAAGGGATGCATGACCATAGGATTGAGTTTGCTCTCCCTTGATTCTGTTGAGAAAACCAAATGCTTCACGAAAATGACAAACAGTACTGATGGATTCAAATTGAAAAAAATATTCAATGCTCTTCATTCTCAATAATAGAATATTCTGCTTCGGTCAAAGACGGCGATTATTGGACTTCGGGGACCAACTCAAATTGTTCCGATAAGTTCCACTGGTGCTCGAAAGATTCTGGTTTCGTCGATAAACAAGTCTCTTGGAAAAGTGGCGAACCGAATCTCGCGACTGGCGAGTGTGTTTACGTAGAAGTGAGAAACGGAACGGTTGAAAGGTCGGTGATTGCTGTCGGCAATTGTTCCGAGGCCAAACAGTACGTTTGTGAGGTTCGGCAGCGGGGACCTGCTGGGAGGGCTTTGGCAGTGGAGTGCATGTCACTCTGGGACATAACTGAGGGTGAAATTATTCCAACATTTGGAAAATTTAATCAAGAAAATCACTTTTTCAGCCGACACTGAAATACTTTTGCTTGGCTTTAACAATTACACTAAGAGATTGACAGTAAAGTTAAATTTAATTTCTGTTAATTATAATTTATTTTTGTTTTAATTCTAGTGCTTTATGAAATGTCTAGGGGAGGATAAGAAAATCGTTGCGTTTTTTTTTCCTAAATGGCCTAAATAATTGTGTTAATATTACTTTCAGTTTATGGGTGGAAAACTGAACGCTGGCGAAACATTAAGAATGATGGAAATAGCCACGCAGGACACGCCGGATCAAATGGAAAAAGGGTTCAACGGATTTTCGCAATGTTCGTCACAAACAGGCGTCGATGAGTGCGCCGTGGCTGCAGCTTCCTATGACTGCGGCGTTGAGAAAATTCCCGACATAACGAAGAAAATGGTGGCAAACGGAAAAGGCAGCCCTGTCGAGGTTTGATTTTTGTAATTTTTTATTGATATCAAAGTGAAAACTTTAAATTAAGTTGATTCCATCTGTCCCCTGCGTGCCTGCCAGAAATTGCATTACAGATTCGTTGCCATGCGTCGTAAATGTATAGAACCAACAATAATCATAAATGTTTTCTTTTAAAACTTTTCACCCCATAGCAAACTCTGGTTGATCAAATTGCAAACACTAATCAAAGTAAGAATGGGTTTTATTGTGCAATCAATCAATTTAAATGTTTTATTTCCAGCTTCAATTGGGCACATGCGAACGTCGAAATATCAAAATAGGCGATTCTTCATGTCAAATTACATAACTTTCGTAAGACTATTGAATGGAATATCACAATTTTCCTGCAGCTGAGAGCATTTTAGAATGTATCGACGGCTCACCAGTACTGCTGCTCCATAGGAATGCGGCTGATGGAGTTTGATACGTTTGAAGATATGCAAGAAACTGCGGCCAGCGTACGGCAATTGGGTTGTAAGTAAATATAAAATTTTCCGGGAAATTTAACTTGAAAATTCCATTTTAATTAATCATCCAATTCTCTTGCAGTGGTTAACAATTATGTTGTACTTTCGGAGGTGATGTCCGTTGACTCTACGACCGAAGTTTGGTGTGGAAGTCGAAGACGAATCAACGCCACTTTGTACGGCCCTAGTTTTGGTTTATCACCCCCTGCTTTGTCATGCACTCCTCAGATTTACTTCATGCATGCGTCATACACTAATTATGGCGCTTACAGCCCAGCAGCAGGTCTTCTTTTAGCTTCAGATGTTCCTGTCGTTGCTTATTTTGTTTGCGCCAACAATTAATGATTCTTGTTTACTCAATTTGATGCACATGCCTAATTTTTAAAGTGTAATGTTTAAAATTTCTAAATTTCCTTTCAATCAAAAGCCAAAAATACAAAAAAACATTATCAATACAAAGCATCTCCATATTCGCGGCCGTCAATCGCGATTTCCTAATCTAAATTTTTCTTCAAGACTGATTTAAAGGTCAATAGAAAATAATATTTCTTGAGTTTATTCAGTTTAAAGTTTGAATAATAGAGAATTTCATTACAATAATTTTTAAATTTACCCGAAATTCATAAAAGTAAAAATAATTGAATTTTTGGCTTCTTTAAATATTTTTATAAAAATTATTTTTTATATTCAATATAATTATTTTTTATTTTTAATCTTTTTCGTCCGAGAATGCAGTTTTTCACCTACAATTTATTATAATCTTACATGTAAAGATCATGAAAACAATTGGAAATGTAAATTTATTGAATTAATAATAAATTGTGGTTTTCAAAATAAAAAATTTGCCCTCACCTGAATGTTTATTTTTAAATTAAATAGTAACCTATATGCATTTATTAATTACGATTGAAAGTAATTAATTAAAAAATATTTTGGTGAAAACAAGTTATTTGAGTAGATATTAGCAATTGATTTTCTTTTATTAAATTTATAATTTATTTTTCAATAAATTTATTTTAATCACTTAAATATTGATAAAATTTAATTTCTCTGTTTACAACATTATTTTACAGAGCAAGGCGACACATTTTTCATGGACTGCAACCTGTGCAGTTGCTACGCGGGCGAGATAACGTGCAGCAAAAGACACTGCGAGCCACTTTCGACGCCTCACCAACCCTACTCCAGTTTACCCTGCAACTGCCCCCCGCACCACATGCCCGTGTGCGGCCGAAACGGAAACACCTACCCATCTGCGTGCCTTGCAAAGTAAACAAAAGTTTCATAAATTATTTAGTAAAATGCAATGAACTGGAATTTCATGAACCCCTACAGATGCGCCGGTTTGAAAGACTCGGACTTTGACATGGGCCCCTGCTCGAGCCGTCAAGACTGACGTCATTATTATATAAATCAACGAACGTGTTTAAATAAAGTTTTTGTGCTAATAAAAGAAAGAATGATTAAATGAACACCAAAAAATCACATAATAAGCTCAGGAAAAGCTAAATGTATAGTGACGAGATTTGACTTTAAAACTGCAATAAAATTAAAGACCATTATACATGTATAGAAACTTGTGTTATAGATATCTCTGAAGTCAAAATTTATAATGATTTTATTTGGAAAATTTCGAGTCTTCTAGAGTTTCAAAATAATTCATTCTTTCCATGTGACTTGATTTGTGAAGAATAAATAATAATAAATTAGTGGTTAAAAAATAATATTCTGAACGATTCAACTGACACCCAATTTCCCGACAGCCACCACTAACATGAAGGGAAAGTAGATCAATACAAAACAAGTTCAAAACAATTAATTTTGTAAAATATCTTACACTCTCATTTTGGAAGCGGAAAACTTGTAAGTAAATTTTCAATGAATATATACATATTTTTGTTAGAAAATTTACTGAAAAAAAGCCATAAACGAGCAACGGTAATAAATTGAAAAACCAGTAAAAACACAGCATCCTGAATTTTTCTGATAAGGTTATAGGAAATTCATGCAACTCGTTAGCGTAATTTTGACGTCATTTTATATTTAATTGAAATTTTTCAAAGGAAGTGCGGCATGCACCTATACACTCTATCAACCATGAAGCAACTAGAAAAATGAAAAAGCTACGATATCAACAGTCGGACATGAAAGCAGAGTCGTGTATCAACATTAGTTAGTCGATAATTAATTTTAATAATGAGCAGAGTGGTTGCTGCAACTATTCTTATACTTTCGTTCGTGATTTTGGTGAGAAGAATCGACACTTAAAAGTTATAATTTCATTAAATATGCCAGCTTCCCCAGTAGGTTTAATTTATTCGATTCGATTTTGTTTTCAAATTGGGCCTATGCGCTTTAGTAACGCTTTTTTCTAGAGCTGGCTGTCAATTCTTTCCTAACGTAATTCCAGTTTCACATTTTGTCTACTTGTTGAAAACAAAATAATAAAATTTAATCCTTTAAAATATGGAAACTGTATTTTCGAGGGAAAATCAAGTTAAATTATACTAACCATATTTTAAAATAAAGCTAGACATTCTGGAGGGAGCACGGCAAAAAAGTGCTTCAAAAACTTTTGGTAATACCAATATTAATTTTATTGCTTGAAAGCCATTAAAATAATCTAACTTTGAGCAGGTGCGGGTAAAAGCAGCAAAAGACAAGGTTTAAAAAAACAAAAAAGAAATACGATAATCAAATGCTGCGGAGAATTCTCGTGCTTCAAAGGGACTAAGAATTTGACTTCGACTAGTTCAACTAAAACCACAAGTCTTTTGAAAGCAATGTCTCCAGTATTATATTCACATTTCACTTTCGTTTCACTCTCAAATCACTAACAATATTTTTAAGGCCATCACGATTAAGGAAGAACAACAAACGGAGCAGGGAATTTCTGAAATGACCACCGAATCGCCAACAGAGGAAACTTTCCTGACAACCCAGCCGCCCCAAATCATCAAGACTTCTGTTCTTGTGCCACATGTCATCCCTACGATAACAACAACTATTTTGGTTGAAATTAGCACTGCCTCTGAACCGAAATCTACTGAAACCAGCAGTAGTTTTTGGACAGTTCCAACTTCAGAAGTAAGGGCAACTTCTACAACTACAATAGTTGCTACTACAACAACCACTTCAACTACCACCACCTCCACTACAACCACCACCTCCACTACAACCACCACACCTGTAAAAAAAAACATTAAAAAAGTTCATATTTTTCATTAAACCAAATTTTCACCCAGCCGTGCGTTAAATCCAACTGCCAGACTTTCAATTTGCTCCAGCAAATGGTAAGTCAAATCATCTATTCTATGTAAAAAAGCTAGCTTTATAAGTTTCATCGATTAGGTAAACGCAACAACACCAAAGCGTAAGTGAAATATAAAGTTCATACGTTGGGAAGTAGTAAAAAATATGAAGTGAAAAAATGGGTTATTTTTTCAAAAACTCAACGGTAGTTACTCTTTGGCACATTTCTTGCTCGTGAAATAGGGTTGAAGATCGTGCCAAAATAGTACATCTGTTTATTGTTTTAAATGAAAACAAATTCTTCAACTTCCCCATTATTTTGCCTCACGAAAGTCTCAATACTCTCAATAGATACACTTTTCTCAAATGATTTTCAATTCAAGAATCTATCATTATGTAGATGGGACGGTATCAATTTATTTTTATTATTAAATAAATACAATATTTTCAATTCAATTCATTTATTCTCTCGCAACAAGTCAAACAAAAATTAAAAAATATTTGATCCCATATGTAATTATTTAAGTAGCTTTAAAAAACTGCAATCTTTTTTCAAGCAGGTTTTGAGTCAACCTTCTTTTAACATTCTAATGAATCTTCAATTCAGATTTGCAAAGTTGAACTTAGGAAAAATTATTTCTAACGGTGCCAATTAAAGTCACCATATTTCTTTTAGTTTATAAAATATCAAATATAATTTGAAAAATCAACGTCAAATTGCAGCCTCTGCGCTGACTGGAGCTACTTTTGCTTCCTGTGGCCGTTCATATTTTGTCGGATCGCAAGCAGTAAAAAATAATTTATTAATTTCCATGGAACCGCAGAATTGTGATTTTGATATAATATTTTCCAATCGCAGGCGACGGTTTCGTTAGCGTCCTTGAATTGCAAGGCTAAAAATTTGAGTCTTGTTTCCATCGGATCGACAGATGAATTTTCATGTCTGCTGGATTTGTACAATTGTGCTCACATACGAATTTTTTATGCATGTTGATAATACATATTGAACCTAATTTTAGCTGTTCAAAGTTTCGGCCTTACCTACTGGACTAGCGGCTCAAATGAGGGCGATTTTTGCGACACCCTGAACGTCTACAGCTGGTGCGCTTTGAACGACACCCTATTGTCACCACTGCTCTTTCGAGAAGTCGGCAACGATTCTTTTTGGACGAATTTGACGGCCGCAAATCAAACAACCGACCGGTGTTTGGTCTTCAAATTCAACACCACTAAAATCGAACGCAAAGGATTGCAACACGTAGAGTGCAACAAAACCTTTCCCTACATATGCGAGGTCATTAAAATAATTATTTTCTTCCATAAACTTTCATTTGTTTAAAAAAACAGCCTCCTTGCCTGGAACCAAGCTGCCCACCCAGCTGCAAGATTAACGTATGATTCGATGAACTAGTATTAATTTATTTTCAGTTTCAACTATTGAAATAATAATAACAGAAAACTCTATTCGACGCGAATCAAAAGGTCAAAGGTTATACCTGTGTTTCCAATTAGTGAAAAATTGGTTTGAATGGAATTTTAAATTTTAAGATCAACTTTCGTACGGATTTTGGACGCAACGTTGTGGCAGGCAATATTTGTTTGGAAACAGGCCCGTGAGAATCTTGACAAGATTCAAGATTTAATCAACTATTTACAAAATTCTTAACCAAGGTGACCTGGGAGGAGAATTGGAATTTGTGTTGCAGTCTGGGGATGGCCCCTTTGGTTTTGGAAACTTACGAGGAGCAGATGTGCTTGGAAAACATGACCAGAAGTGCACAAAATCCTAAAAATAAAAATGGAAATGGAAATTTTGTGATTCAGGCAACTGGACTTTGAATTTCAATTACTGGACGGCGGGCACACAAAAAGAATGTCCCGGTCAGTGGTCCTGGTGCGACCCTGGCAACAACTACCTTCACCTGAAAAACAGTCTCAAGTGGGAAAAAGGCCAGCCGGACAACAACGGTGGCAAGGAGGACTGCGTGCACCTCAGGTTTGTTATGAATGAGACCGGCACAATTTTGACGGACAGAAACTGCACCAGCAAGTACATCTTTCTGTGTGAGGTACGCGTTGATTTACGTCAGTAATGATCATCAAGTTTGACCTAAATAAAAAACCAGAGTCCGCCTGGCGACATACCGAAACCACCTTGCGCTCAGCCAACGTGCCCAATTGCAAATGAGAAAAATGTATGAATGGCTGTTTTTATAGCTTCAAAATAGTCTCTTTTTCAAAATATATTATCCAGCTTGAATTATAATTAAAGTCATGAAATGGTTTCTAAACTACTTTTTTTTAATTATGAAAAAAATCATTTTAAATTCATGTTTATCTTAAAAATAATTGAAACGCTTCAATACATCTTTTGGTAGTTTCGACCCAGAAATAATATAAATTGAAAAATTGAAATTTTTTAAACATCTTAAAATAATCCAAAATCAAAACATATGATTTCAAATCGTTTTGAAAAGAATATTAAATTATGCTCCATTGAGAAATAAAAGAATTATTTATTACACATCTTAAATGTTTTTCAGCAATCACTCTTCTCTGGGAATGAGCTGATGAGTTAAATTTAGTCTCAAGTTATATTTTACAATTCTAAATTTTGGATTCAGATTTTTACAGTTACGGTTCTTGGGTGGCGTCTTGTGGACGAAATTTCTTGTTTTCAAAAACTAAGGTATTTAAAAAATTGTGGACGACTTAATATAATCAAAAATGATAAATATAAAAAGGCGAATTACTCTGAAGCATGGAAGGGATGCATGAGCATAGGATTGAGTTTGCTCTCCCTTGATTCTGTTGAGAAAACCAAATGCTTCACGAAAATGACAAACAGTACTGCTGGATTCAAATTGAAAATATTCAATGCTTATAATTTATTTTCAATCATAGAATATTCTGCAGCGGTCAAAGACGGCGATTATTGGACTTCGGGTACCAACTCGAATTGTTCCGAAAAGTTCCACTGGTGCTCAAAAGATTCTGGTTTCGTCGATAAACAAGTCTCTTGGAAAAGTGGCGAACCGAATCGCGCAAATGGCGAGTGTGTTTACGTAGAAGTGAGAAACGGAACGGTTGAAAGGTCGGTGATTGCTGTCGGCAATTGTTCCGAGGCCAAACAGTACGTTTGCGAGGTTCGGCAGCGGGGACCTGCTGGGAGGGCTTTGGCAGTGGAGTGCATGTCACTCTGGGACATAACTGAGGGTGAAATTATCCCAACAGGAAACAATTGCAAAATTTAATCAAGAAAAACCTTTTTTCAGCCGACACTGAAATACTTTTGCTTGGCTTTAACAATTACACTAAGAGATTGACGGTAAAATTAAATTTAATTTCTGAAACTTATGATAACATTAATTTTTTTTTTTTTTTTAATTCCAGTGCTTTATGAAATGTCTAGGGGAGGATAAGAAAATCGTTGCGTTTCTTTTTTAAGCAATCGCAATTGTGTTAATATTTTGCTTTCATAGTTTGTGGGTGGAAAACTGAACGCCGGCGACACTTTAAAAATGATGGAAATAGCCACGCAGGACACGCCGGATCAAATGGAAAAAGGTTTCAACGGATTTTCGCAATGTTCGTCACAAACAGGGGACGATGAGTGCGCCGTGGCTGCAGCTTCCTATGACTGCGGCGTTGAGAAAATTCCGGACATCACAAAGAAAATGGTCGAAAATGGGAAAGGCAGCCCTGTCGAGGTTTGATTTTTGTAATTTGATTGACAATGGAAGTGAAAACTTTGAAAGAAGTTGATTCCACCCGTCCCCTGCGTGCCTGCCAGAAATTGCATTACAGATTCGTTGCCATGTGTCGCAAATGTATAGAACCAACAATAATCATAAATGTTATCTTTTAAAACTTTTTACTCCGTAGCAAACTTTGGTTGATCAAATTGCAAACACCAATAAGAGTAAGAACGGGTTTTATTGTGCAATCAGTCAATTTTAACGTTTTATTTCTAGCTTCATTTGGGCAGATGAAAATGTCAAAATATCAAAGTAGGCGATTCTTCATGTCAAATTACATAACTTTCGTAAGACAATTGAATGTAATAGCACAATTATCCTACAGCTAAGAGCTTTGCAGAATATATCGATAGCTCACCAGTACTGCTGCTCCATAGGAATGCGGCTGATGGAGTTTGATACGTTTGAAGATATGCAAGAAGCTGCGGTCATCATTCGGCAACAGGGTTGTAAGTAAACAAAAATTTTCATAACTTGAACATTCAGTTTTAATTAATCATCCAATTCTCTTACAGTAAATACCAATTACATTGGAATTTCGGAGGTGATGTCCGTTGACTCCACGACCGACGTTTGGTGTGGAAGTCAGCGACGACTAAACGCTACTTTGTACGGCCCTAGTTATGGTTTATCACCCGCTGCGTTGTCATGCACTCCCCAGATTTACTTCTTGCATGCGTTATACACTAGCTATGGCGCTTACAGCCAAGCAGCAGGTCTTATTTTAACTACAGATGTTCTTACTCCTGCTTATTTCGTATGCTCCAACAATTAACCATACCTTTTACCTCATTCGATACATATGCAAAAATTTTAACGTACTTTGTTTAATGAACTCGCATTCAAAGTAAAAAATTTTCATCAAAACATTTCCATATTCCTGGCCACAAATCGCGCCTCTCAATTTCCTACTTTACAATATTAAATTTTTCAAAAAGAACTCCTTTTTTCATGGTGATTTTAATTTAAAATCGGCTTTTCCAATTCAAATCACCCTCGATCGTGAAATTCTATCACAAAACTTCTTTTTTAATTTCAACTGTTCTTTTCTCGGTTTTGTTTTCTCTTCATATTTTTGATTATTCTTTAATATGTAATTCAATAAATAGGTTTTATTGTCTTTTTTTTGGCTAAGAATGCAATTTTCATTTTTCACCAAAAAATTTATAATTATCTTTCATGTAAAAATCATGAAAATATTTGGAAAAATAAATTTATAAAATTATTAATCGATTGCGGTTTTGAATAAAATTTTTGAAATCAGAAAGACTTTTCTCAAATAAAAATATTAACTTTTCAATTTTAATTTTAATTGAATTGGTTTTCTGTTTGATTGCATATTTTTTTATTTCCCGCAACCGGCTCGACTGTCATGTCCAGCAGGTTGCATACCTACAATAAAACTTTTAATTACAATTCATTTATATTCTTGAAAATTGTTCTTACAATACATAATTTTGATCTTAAATTAAAAACTGAACAATTGCAAACAAAAAAAAACACGAAAAGCGAAAGTGCAAATTGATGAGACGTGTTGTTTTGGAAGCAAACAAGTTGCGGAATATCACTCTCGTCGCGGCAGGCCGAGATATTATCAGCACAAAACACGAGTAGCAAAGCGTCTTGCTCGTCAGTATACAAAAGCAGTTGGGGGCCGCCGAAGATTTTTGTCCGCCCACGCATTTATCAAGAGACCTTTTCGGGGTGGATGGATTCAGACGAGGAGGTCCCGTTGCGAGAAAGATGGTACGCAGCAGCCGCGGCTCAGCGACCACGCCCGGTTGCGGAACTCGCCCAAGGCCGCGCGCGCTCTCGCAGATGCTCCCGGACTAAAAGCAGAATCACCGCAGTTGCGTCACGATTCGCGAAATGACGAAGGAAATCAAACTCGGCGATGCCGGATTCGGATCCTGCTGATGGGAAAACCTATGAAAGGACATGCGACAGGATAGTCTTCACTTTAACATGTAGTACAGCCTTCCTCAGGCACTTTTCTTAAATTAGATATTGATTTTCTCTACGAACCGTAATTCATTGAGACTTGAAGATAAAAATTATTTTCAATGATTTTTTTTTGCAAGCAGAAGTCTTTTAATCCTGAAAATTTTAAGACCACACAAATTAAATGATAACTTGCATGTTGGGTGTCTTTTAGTAGGTTTTCGAGTGCAAGCAATCGAAGTCCAGCATGCCGATGTTCATTTTCTGACCTCGGGATGTAAAAAGGAGACACACATTGCTTGTCGCTGAAACTCCAGCTGAGCTTTTTATTTGAGCGCGCGGTTGTGACAAACTGGTGTTTAGGAGTGAAGAGCAACGCCTAATTCTCGAGTGTATTCGCGAAGCTGTTGTTAATTTCGAGCGGCGGCGGGCGGATTTTACGAGCTCGCAATTTATGAATGGGCGATTTGATTTACGAGAGAGACGCGACCTCGCCCCAGTGTGTGTCGTGGAGATGCTCGCGCCGTGTGCGGTGACACCAACGCGCGCAAATCGAGAGATTTTAATTTCTATTCGCTAACCCGCCGCGAATCCGGTTCGGAAGGGTGCATGTGTGCGAGCAGATGCCGAGCAAGATTCCATTTAAGGTGCATTTGGCGACGAGTAATCGCTTTGCTAATTGTTCTCGGAAGCTCGTCTCATTGTTTTCCTGGCGCGCGAGGCAAAAATGCGAAAATCCACAAAAGGAAGTGAAAATCTTTTACATCAATTCACCTCGTGCATTTATTATTATTTTTTTCGCTGATGATTTTGATCTTCTACAGAGAGAAGCTGCGGGTGACAAAAATATAGGAGGCGCAGATTGGGCGTCGCGAGAGCGCGCAGGGCGGTCGTCGGGTCACACTTGGTTTTAACCCTTTGCACGCCCAGATTGCTGTTGATTCGCGCATAATTTCGACTCGCGCCCTTTGGCTCCGCGCTTCATAAAAAAATTACGGAAATCAATTGTTGCATGAAAGGTTCTTTATATATGGCATAAGTGCGAATAATATCCGAGCATCGCACAGAGAAGAAAGGCGTATAGGTGGAAATAGAAAAATATTTCAAAACAATTCTTTGGACGGGTTTCTCCTAAAAGTTTGAATTGTTGGAAAATGTTATCAGTAGAAATATTTCAAAACAATGATAAGCATTTTACAAAAATTTAAAAAAATTTTAATATTAAATTTTATTGTTGCGCCTTTAAAAAAATTCTCCGCATGAAAGCAAAATAAATATTTCTCCTACATTATTTTTGCAGAAAATGAAACCCATTGTAAAAAATATTGCCACCATTATTGTATTTATATTGTTAAAACGTATTGTGAGTAATTTAATTATGAAAATAAAATAATTATATCAGTTTAAAAAAAAATGAAAGTCTCTCCACCAATGATTTTTAGTTTTAACAATTGAAATCTCAAAATTACTAGATAGAAAAAGTTGAAAAATTTGCACTCATAAGGATTGAAAGGGGGCTTTTTCCCACAAAAATATTTAATTAAACCTTGAGGAAGGTGTTGTTTGTAAAGCTTAATTTCTAGTTCGTATGAATTTCGCAATTTAATAACCATGGTTGAAATCCTTTTGGAGTTTGATTGAACCATTTATGAACCTTTGTACGAATTTTCGACGCAAGTCATGGTTTTTTCTTTCTTTTTAAAGATAAAAACTTTTTCTGAACGGGGCCTTAAAAAATTATTGAATTTTCAACTTTCCTAAATTGACTTTGAAATGGTCATAAAATATACAGGAATCAAGAGTCGTCGGTTCAAATGTTACAGCGATTTGCACACCATTAAAAATAAATAAGCATCTCTCTTGCTCTCGTACTTAAGTGATGGTCGACGTTTCAATAGTTTATGTCAAAGATGCTTTGAATATTTGTTAAGTGTCGCGACGCGCTCCATTATTTGCAGTTGATTTGTTTATCTGTGACACGCACACGAGAGGGTGCAACGCGAGCAGATGAAGTGGCGCGATACCGAGTAATTCGAGCCGCGCTCCTTGTAAACTGCCCGACGCGAGCGAATAAATTTTCTGCCTCCACACTCGCGCGCATACATACACTTGCACTCGAGAGAGCGAAAGTGAATCGGCTCTAAAGGACAAAGGACCATTAGCGAAAAGCGATCCCTTCAGGATGACAAACAATAATTAGCTCGAGATGCGAAAGTTTTGATTAAAAGTCTCCGAGGTGTTTTTTGCTTTCTGCCCTCAGGCCGCGTTGGCCGCGCCGAACAATAAGCTTTGTTTTCTTAAATAAATGGGGAAAAAGAGGTGCGAATGTATACTTTGTAATTTGAGACCGCAGGCTGCTTCAGATTTAATATTTGATAATATTTAAGTCAAGAAATAAAGCAAAGGAGGTGGTGATTTCCAGGAATGAAACACACTTCAATCGAAAATGAATCAAATTCTGATTAAATCTATACAGTATCAATTTTATTCCAAGTATTTCGGCTGAGGTCAGCAATTTTTCAGACCTCTTTTTCTTAAAAATCTCTTTATTGCGACCTCAGTAAGGTTCATTCAAAATTTAAATTCAAAAGCTTTGTAACAAACCACAAAAATAATTTTTAATTGATATTATTATCAAATTTACATAATTTAAAGGAGCACCCTGAAAATCGAGTGCTTTATATTATATATCTAATTGTAAGAAGCAATAATGTGAATTAAAGATTTTGTGATGTTTTTTTTTTTTTGTAAATTATCTGTATTAAAAAAAATTATGCACCCAGTCTTTCAGGGATTGGAATATATTTTCACGTAAATTACCTTTTTGCGGTAAAATTTGAAATTCATCCGCATCAAATGTTTTAAAATCATAATAATTTAATTTTTTTCACTTACCCTGAGAAAGGGTGCGTGATCCTGAGACAGTTTTCGGATCGGAGGGTGGCGGAGTTTGGTGTCCATCGGCACGTTTTCTAGAGTCGCAAACTGGAATCCGGCGCGAAAAATCCGCTATTGGCGACACAAAGCGCGAAACGGGAGATCAAGAGGTTCACTCTTTTTTCCGAGGGCGTGTGTTTGTTTTCATGCAAATGCGTCCGCATGCAAATGAGACGAGCAAGAGATTCATCATAAAAGCCGCAGAGCAAACACTCTTCGCGAGATGCATTTGAATATTATTTTACATTTTCGCGTCGACGTCGTGCAGCAGCGCGCGCCAATTTGCATTATTATTATTATTGCTGTGTGCATTCGCTTCGGAATAAAATTATCGCCGCTTTTCCTCTTTACATGCATATCGCGCTCGACCATCTCGCGCGCGCGCTCCTCCTCTGCATCTTTGCTGAACTCTCTCTGCAAAGAATGGAGATCAACGAGCACTCCTGCTCTTAATTTGATCCTTTTGCTCATAAATAATTTTCCTACAATGTTTTGTACAAAATTGCACAAATACTGAACAATTATAAGAAGTAAAAAATAATCATGAAAATAAACCATAGACAATCTATTTTAAAATGAAAATTGGATTTTTATTCAGAATCTAATATTTTTATAAAATGTAATATTTTCTTAGCCCTAATTAATAATCAATAATTATTTTTAAAATATAAATAATTTGAATACAATATTAATAATTTGGTGTTTAATTTTTTTTTTTAAATTTGATATGTTTATTAAGTCTGTTTATTTAAGATTATTCCAATAGAAATTTTCAACAAACAACAACATTAATATAATTTTTACTATTAAAACCCACTCTCTTTCACAAGAATAAAAGAAAATATTCATCGCGCGTCCTTCAATTCGAATCGTTTTGCTGCATGGCCATAATAATTTAGAAATGCATAAAAGCCGAGCGGTCAAGTCGCCGAGCAAAAGTGAAGGGTTATATTATATTTATTCGCTGCTCTCTCGTCTTATCTATCGGCTCACATAATTTTCGTGTTCTACTCGAGCGGAAACAACAACGAATTTTCACAGCTTCCTATTATGTTCCAGCAAACTCTCGTCCGCTCACTTTTCCGTATGCGCGGCCTTTTGCTCTCCGCGCAACAAACAACAACAATTCTAATTCCTGTTTCCATATCGAGAGATATCCAAAAAA